AGAAACAAGCCCATGAGTAGACTGGAGGAGGAAGAAGAGGATTTTGGACAAGTTGAGGGCGACGTATTTAATGACACGCGCACTATGATAAACAGCTGATTGGTCTCCTTTTGGCAGACAAGCGAAAAACAATTGGAAGAAGTGTGATTAACAGTTGAGAGAAACAGAAGAGAGGAACAGAAGGACTTGAGAATACTTATACTCTAGAAATTCTGACACAGGAATCATACACCAGGTATCGTAATAATATTGCAAGGCCAATTTACACGGTACTTGTACTGCTGTCAGACTTGTCACAGATGTTCACGATTTATTGCTAATTCGACGCATCTCATAAAACAACGTTTTTGCTAAAGTAAATCGTTTTGATCTCATCGTGCAATAAATCTTGGACATTCAATTGACAATTCTCTAACATTCCAGTGCAAGCCGACTTAGCCTCGAACATATGTGAAATTGATTGGATATTCTAAAGTTTTCTATCCGAGGAACGAGGCTATTCCAGCCTGTACTGTATTTTTAAGAGTAATCAATACATTATCGACACATCGTACATTATCAAAATACGCATTTTCTAATCTGCTTTGCCTTAGAGCTAAAAGTTATTAAGCACGTCAGAAGTGTCTAAGAGGAAATATAACACCTGCGTATCGTACTATTTTTAACTCATTTTGTGTTTTGTTGAACTCCCGCGTGCTCAATATCACTTCTTGGTTTTACAAACACTAAATATGTTAATCACACTTTGCATTTAATGGATTAGCACTAACATTGTYGAATAAACAGATTCAATATGTTTATAAGCCGAAGGGAAATACCAGTCGAGTATTAGACACGCCTATGTATAACCTACGTTGGATCTCTTTTAGTGGGCGCGGAAATAACCACAAAGCACGTTCTACGCATCTCTCTTATTATAAAGTTCTGAAACCAGTTGTATGAAGTTTTGATGAAGTTAGCTATCATATTTGTAATTTGTTTTTTATTTCTTATTTTACTTTTATTGTGGTCAGTTGCACACTGAAAATGCTACCTTAATGAAATCCACGTTGTAAGGGGTTGTGTTTATGGCGCACAAATCATTTTTAATAACGATATTCAACAATGCATTTCGTATGAGGCTTCCTCCACATGTCAATCAGTATACGGCGATAACTTAGAGTTTGATAATGGGGATCCAGMTAAACCATGTATATGGATAAAAACCTGATTTTTAACTGGTTTATCCAGGGGTTAGTGGTCAATCAAGTTTTAAACAAGCCTGCTCTGAAAATTTAGGTTCACGTTATTTGCACATGTGWAGGTAGACTCTTAGTTCCTGTTTACATYAGACAGGGTGCCCCTAGGTGTAGAGACAAACTCTTTTGTTTTCGATCCTCCAGGGAAAAGAAAACAAAGGAGTTGGCCCTGCCACGTAGGGGCACCGTATCTCATCTAAACAGGGCCTTAATTACAGGCGAAAAGGCATTTAGGCCTTGRAGCTTCGAGGATCTTTTAATTTAGAACTTAGTACATAATATGAAATAATTTCTTAAAGTATTTMATGTCGTGTTTTATTTATCACCCTAATTTAATGGATTGTAGTTTTTTTATAATTTTATTCTATAAAATAAACTGTTCACCACGTGTTTGGTATTTATTTGTCATTGAAAAGTTAGGGTGCTATCGRRAATTGCTTYAAAAAAGCTGACAACCAAATAGAGCTGAATAGAGCAATACAGTGTAGATTGGACAAAAGAAAAGAAAGAAACGAGTCCAATCTCTTCCGAAAACTTTTTTTTGAAATAGTTATATTTATAACAATTAGACCACTCGTCCRCGTGGACAATGAGTTGATATTCCATTCGGCCGCTAGTATTCACGGAAAATACTATAGAGAAAAAAAAATTAAAACATGTCATATATAGAACAATATTTCTCGAAAAGTCTTCGACTATTTTCGCTTCACTCGATCAACCAAACTAATATACTTTAGTATCTACCGAAGCATGGGRTATTACAAATCCAGCATTCTGATTGGCTACTGAGCTATGGTATATTCATAAATCGTTATGTAAAAAGATAAATTTAACACCGTAAAAAAGTGGGTGAAATAACTTACTGACGTTTCGGACGTTAATCCTTCGTCGGAGTAAAGAGTCGCATCAAATGGAGCAAAAAAGGCTAAAAATCGTTTAGGAAAATTGTTCTTTATGGTCTCTTTTGTTCAAATTTACCCTAGTTTGGTGGATACTAAAAATAATTTGACCACACGGTCTCGTGAACTACTAGCTGATAGTCGACCTCACAGTCTAATTCTTGAATAACTCGATTTTAAAAGCGTTTTGATGTTGCATACCCAAGCGGTAGGTATTGCTCGTTTTGAACCATTCCCATGAGATTCAAAAGATAAAAGACCGGCGGCCATGTTGGGGGAATGAACAATAGATACTAATGAAAACCGCTGTGACGTAACCTGCAAACGAAGAATTTACTTCCTGCACTGGTGTTAGTTATTGATAATAATATATTAAACAATCAACTTTTGGTTTTATAACGATAAACGAAGAGTAAATTCACAAGTTTTATTTTCTGGTGTCCTTTACGCTTTAATTGACTTCCCATTCTAAAACAGTCATTAAACTGACCTGAATTGAGTGCACTTATTTATAGAGTATACGTTTTCATGTCGACTGCAGTTTTCAGACATTGCCCTCTTGAAAAGCCGAGAATGCTTATGATAAATATGACCTTTACCACTGATCTTCAAAATTGCCGTTGACAACTCCAACAATAGACATGGAATTTTGTGTTTTTTTCTGCTTCAATGTTTTTAGCCATGGCTTCTCACAACACCTGTAACTGGTGGCGAGGTCCTGGTCAGGCGAAGTGATGGGGGAAGTAAACTCGCTCTCTGATTGGCTAACATGTTCATTGATGCTTCTAAATGACATGAAATGCTAATTTCATATCAGGTCATGACTATACTGGGAAGCGTGAAAATAGAACTTGGAATACGCCCTATACTATGTGTTTGGGTATGATTAAAAACATTCTGCTGTCGGATTCAAGCAAGGGAATACAAAGTTTCTAATCCATCGAAACTGAAATGAACATTTATTTCTTCAAATTTCTATTYGTCYTACAATCACGGAGATAAGGTTGCCTTGGACACCTTGATATTAACCTGTTAGCCGTGAGAAATGTGGACCTTGCCTGAAGCTCTCTGATGGTAAACACCACTTGGTTTTGTAGTTCCAACAGAATTCGTCTGAAGCTGAAGGACTTGAGATGAATCAACGAGAATTTGGTCAAGAAGCTTTCAGCGATGAACAGTTTCTCGCTGGCGGAATAACATTACTTTTATCAGGCACAATTGGTTTTGTTGGTAATATTTTTGTCCTGATAATAACTTACAGGATACTGCGATACAGAAGAAACATTCCAACAATWTTCATCCTATTTCTATCATGGACAGACTTGCTAACTTTCCCTCTCATATATCCGCAGTCTTTGCTGAAGTATTTTGTAGGTGTTTATGTAGGTGACTATGTTGGCTGTGACTATCAAGGAACGGTCATAACACTACTTTATGGCATATCAATAACACTGGTATTGATGATGAGCGTGGACCGTTTATTAGCTCTTCATAAGCCATTTTGCTACGAACGATATATTACATACGATAAAGAGAAGGTTAAGGTAACGGCAATAGGGGTTGGAACGGCAGGACTTACAATGTCACTTCTTCCCGCRTTCGGTGTTGGTCGTAACGTGCTACATTTTCCAGGCACGTTTTGTCTTTTTGAATGGGGTGCTGAAACCGTAGACGGTAGAGCATTGTTGTATATCTATATGACTCTACTCAGTATTGCAATGCTTACGATTGTTTTCTGTAACCTGGGAGTAGTGATTTTGACATGGAGGTTAGTGAGAAGAGTACAAGGTGATAGTACTCTTGGTGATAAAGAGAGTGCAGCACCAAAAGCGAGGCCAAAGTCTTCAAGTCATGTGGAAATGGAAATGCAGTTTGCAAAAATAAGCTGTGTGGCAGCCATTGCATTTGTGGGGTGCTGGAGTCTATTTTTGGTGAGTAGTTTATATACATTGTTGTAAAAAGATTCAGCGTCTTTTCAGTCATGGGATTTTGATGGGTTAGTTTTCCCGCTGTTTTCATCAAATAAATTCCTCTACTGAACTTCTTCGATTGAAACCTGAATATATGTTTTCAAAAGAAATTTAAAGGAAAAAAATGACAAAAAAAGTATATACACGTGTCCCTGTCTTTTTTATTGAAAAAAATACTATTTGGGCGACTCGCCCTAAGGCATTGTTAATGAAAAAATTTCTATAGCGGATCAGTTGTTGACAATGACGTTTTGTTTKCAGACATTTATAAGAGGGGGGATGCAAACAATATTCTGTTACGATAAGGGTTTTCGGCACCAATTAAATGAGCTTAAGAGTCTAGCTTTTTTTTTCTCTTAAGAAAGAGGGCCTCTCCCAATGGTTTAGTCTTCATACTTGAGAATTGAAAGAATAAATCACTTAACACTATCAAACAAACAGTAGATGATATTTGTCACATTTTCCTYGCTAAAACGCGTAATTTTTCGCGCTGTTAAGTTGTTTTACGAAATTGCAAAAACGGTGCCATTAAACCATCTAAGTATACACCATTGTAAAATGTAATTGGCATTAGTGAAAAGTCATTAGAGGGTGACTAAAGTTTGCACTGAATGTTTGAAATAATTGATTCAGTCCTAGTTTGTGAATTATACGATATGTTTTTTGGCAACTCAGTTGAATGATTTCAATATGAAACACGTTTTAATGATTTTGTTTGCTTTTACAATTGCACGTGCTTTCACCGACATATCTTTTTTCCTACCTATCCAAAGAAATTACTCAAACACACACTTGATAATACTTTTAAAAGTCGTTTTGTCTAACATGTACTTGTCATTTGTTCCTTTTAAAAGTTATTTCATCCTTCAGTGTCTTTATAGTACAAATACATGAACTCGCGCATATTCCAGCACGTGTACCGACCTGCCAAATTCATCAAACCACGTTTTTCGATTAATTGGGGGGGGGGATCTCAATCTCTATTCTGGTGCACCTGTAATTTCAAAAAATAATAAAATTCTTAAAATTCATGCAAGTCTACACAAAGATTTCTAGTGGATTCTGGCGATAGAAAAACGTGCTAGATGGCTTGCAATTCACCTGTTCACGTGTTTCTGATACCCAGCAATTTTGGTCACGTCACCCACATGCAATTCAAGTGTAATAAGTATGGTTAAAACCATCTCTGTTATTTTATGCTGATAGATACGCAGCTTTGCAATTAACCTTCAAGTCGTGAGGTCGTTTATTTTTGCATTGCTGTACCTCGTAAAAAGATGAAAAAGAAAATRCAAACAAATCCTTGGCATTAAATAAAACACAAATTATGAAGAAATCTCCTAACGAATATAGAACGATTGTTTATAATCTCTATGACAGTTGTAGCCATGTTGTGATGATGACTTAGGCATGCGTACTGTAGTTATAGGCAAAGGTTGTCACCTAAATCGGCATTAACGCATTAACAAGATTAGCAGCTCGCATTTCAGGCCCTGTCCGGCCAAAGTAGGAAACTTTTAAARACTTGTATTCGCAAAAATTAATAGTTATATAAAACATTTAAAATGCAAAATGATTTTAGCTGCGCSTGAAAAACGATCAACTTTTATAAACTTTCCATGGGACTCGAAAGCTGCTTTCAAATACTCCACAACAACGACAGATCACTAGAAACTTTGTGATAGAATAATTAAGTTAACATTGCACTTGTAACTTATATTTTTATATTTTATATTTTTTTTTCAGATTCGTGTGACGATGATTCAAGCTGGCTATCAYTTTGATGCACTCTTAGACTTTACATCCATTCGACTTGCGTCACTACATTCAGTACTCAATCCTTGGTTCTATCCRTTGCTCAGAAGAAAATATCGCGAAGGCTTCTGGTATCTTATGACGTGGGTTGGTCACATAGTCACGTGTACTTTGATAGCAAAACCAGAAAACACATTAGGTGTGTATGATTTTCAAACTGTAGTCAAAATAGCCACTTCTATGGCATAGCCACTTCTATGGCATAGCCCAACTGAGCGCTCCAAAAGCGTTTGGTTGACCGTTGAATAACAGAGGTTTCTGTTCTAAATATGTATTGCTTTCCCAGATGACATTGTTGGTGGGACTCCAAGAACCAAGCGAAGTAAAAAYATCCTTCAGAGCGAAGAACGAAGACGAAGTTCTCAACGGTTTGTTAGTACATCGACATTGGCTACCGAGAAGTCAATTTCAACTGACAGCAAATAAAATCATTAGAGCTTATTACAATTTATTAATAATTTTTTAGATTTAAAAACAAAGTATTTATTTACAATTTGCAAATATATGTTCTTGTAAAGGCAAAGTTTTAATTGATAAACATTCGTATAATGAYCGTCATATATTAAGGACAAAATGGCTATGATGGAATTTTAAGATTTTGTACAAATTATAAGTGATTTATTAATTGATTTGTAATTTTGCAGACTTAGTTTGCAATTAACTTTTGCATAATTGTTTGAAATAATCTGTAATGATTCGACTCTCATGACGTCATACTTTKTATCTAAAAAAACACAATGTAGCAAGATCATCAACACGATCAACATCTTTGTTAATACTTACACTCACAGTATGCCGAAAAAGAATAATGTAAAATATTGTATAGCATATAAAATAATAAACCAACAGAATATCAAAGAAATTAGTAATAAATTCTATGCATATGATTTATTTTGCATCAAAAGTGGACGTATGTCATGCAATGAAACAGGTTATGAAGATGAAGGAGGCTTGGATTAGTAGCTTGCTAATTAGCGGATCTTTTTTGAGAAGACAGCGTTTGGATTGACTTAAACGTAAAAGGGCAAAAAAATTGCGAGGCAAGAAAGCGCCGAAGTATTTAGGGGATTGGGACAAGAATGATTGCGGGAGGGCTCCATCAATGAAATGATCCCCCCTCTACCATAGGATCTGCTTCGCGGGAAAATTTGTTTTCAACTCGAGCAGCAGAGCGACGAGGCAGAGTTGTGTTGTCGATCTGGACCTACTTAAAAATCTGTTTTTTGTGCTTTTCATCCTGCAATACATGGTCTTGTGTTATTTATTAGCTGCACTTAGATCAACTGCAGAATAGCATCAGTACTTTTATCTTAGTTGAGGCGAGACATCCGAGCACATAGCTTACTTGTGAATGGACATGCCAAGTCCAAAAGCTAGAAATTTGGCTTTGAAACTCAAAGTGGAGGGATTGTTTGGTACAAATGTAACTGAAATGACAAGTTGGAGAACGACAAAGTACAGGTAAGAGTGAAAATTATTGCGACAAATAAGTACGTTGATATGAAATTATGTGAAAACATTGCTCGACTGCAAATCAATTAAAGTAGCTTAAGTCTTATTGTCATTTTGTTCAGTAGCTTTTACTTGTAAACTGTATAAACTTATGTTGTAAAGTAACCATTACAATAGGCGTGCCACAGTTAAATGTAGGCCATTCAGTGTTGAAAATTACAAAGAACTAGTCACAACAGCCCTGCAGTTTGTCAATATGACATAGCATTCGATTGTAAACACAAACGTATATCAAATAACGGTTTACCTTAACCTTATTAC